GAACCCTTGCTTATTTAACACTACACCCGGGCTCCGGTGTAGCGGCCCTTGCACACTTTTCATTGTATTCAGGCTATACAGCGCGTCGCTTCCAGGGGACGCCCTAGCACTTACACAATGATCAAAAGGATTCATGTCATGATTTTTTTGACAAGTTTTACGCTGGCTGTCGACTACCTAACGCAACCCTCCACTTTTCTCATCCGGGCTTGGGACCGGCAACGGCAGTGTTTCATTGTAGCATTATATATTATGATAAAAATTATTATAGCTTCAAAGGAAGATTTACATAAACATATAATTCAATTCCTATATATTCACATATTTAACATCTATACTTCAATTTTTGTATACATGCCACCTCATTCGTGTATAAAAGGTTAACTTTCTAAACATTTTAATGGTGACATTTTTTATGTGATGTGAAAGATTGAGGTGATATAAATCCCAAAAAGCAAAATTTATAATGTTAGATATGTAATTACATATCAGTTGGGTGATATGCATGTAAATAAATATCTCCTTCAACTTGCATTTACAACGAACTTGACGATTCAAAATTGGACTTGTCAACCTGACGCCGTTCTATTAAGATACAGCTCGCGAAGAAGATGAATTTATGGGGAAGGCCGTGCAAACTGTTGAAATTATGCATGTTGCTGTCATTTGAATCGTAGTATCAAAATAAAGTAAAATTTATTGCAAATGCTACCATCTAATTCAACAACTTTAGCCATTTTTATTTCAAATATGGAAAGTGCTGCATTAATTATAAAAATGGTACAAAAATTATCAGATCATTAGCTATATGATTAGATTTTAATATATGTATATATAGGGGAATTTACACTAATACCAACCAAATCTTTCATATATATCACATAAAAAAATATCGACATCTATCATCAGATTTGAGTAATGATAATTCAAATTAATTGAAGTATAGATGTTATTAGAAGCATAATTACATATGAATTGAGTGTTATGCATGCAACTTATTCGTGTGTGTGTGTGTATTACATATCAAAATCAAGAATTTAATTACTTTATTCTTGTTTTTAGGCTTGCTTAATGTTTGATTATTTTCACCAAATCTTAATTGTAAATGCATGTAGGCTTTGGCACTCCTAATAGTAATTGTTTGAATTTACTCTTCAATTTGATCGAACCTTGATGCGTGCTAGAAAATTCATGGTAATAGAGTAACAAATGATCGTCTTAGTGTTGTACGAGAATTTAGCACACACGGATAACATAAGAGAAGTATGCAGGAGGAGACACATTGACTTTTTACATGGAAAACCATTGAAAAGGGGAAAACTATGGGGTCTAGCCTAGTTGAAATAATCCACCATCAATGATGAGTACATAGGCTCATTCTTCTCCTAAATTAGTGAAGATGGAATTACAAAGAAAGTTGTTGTATAACTATAATATGGCTGCAGTTCTTGGTGACAATATGTTGCAAGGATCACTGTTGATTGTTGTGGAGGTAGTAGTCCATCGTGAGTGTTGTAGATGGGTTCTTCAGAAACGTTGATTGGTCAAAGAAATTGTGGTAAGCAGTTACGAGAGTTGTGGACCACATAGACCATAGTGGTGGGTATGAATGTCGTTTGTAGGCTGCCAGGGGCCAGAGTTGGGAGTCTGCATGAGCTGTGAGCTAGTTAGGTCATAGGGGCGAGTATGAATGACGTTCGTAAGCCGCGAACACTGAAGTTGGGAGCTGCATGAACTGTGAACTACGTAGGTCGTAAGGGCGAGTATGAATGACGTCCGTAGGCCGTGGGGGCCAGAGTCGGGAGCTGCAAGAGCTATGAACCATGTAGGTCATAAGGGGTGAGTATGAATGACGTTCATAGGTCGTGGGGGCCGGAGTCAAGAGCTACCCAAGCTATGAACCACGTAGGTCTTAGGGATTAGTATGAATGATGTCCATAAAGAGTTAAGAGTTGCACTTGTGAACCAAGTAAGTCGTCGTTGACACATGGACTGTAGTGATGACCTCATGTCCCACGACGATGACTGGCACCGTCTGGTTGTTAGTGATCGACGATGATTGGTGTTGATCGATGGTGACGGTCGACAATGGCTCACAGTGATCGGCGGGTGTCGATGACCTCTGGCGATGGTCAATGGCGATCGACGGTGGTCGATGATGATCGGGAAGGTGCTGGACTTCTGCTCCTTCTCAAAGCTTCCGGTTCTCTCTGAAGCTTCAACCTCCACCTTCATGTGAGGGGTGGGGTTCTATTCATAGTGTTCAGGGTGTCATTATTGCATGAATATAAATATGTTTAATGGACATTTATGTGTCTTAACAATGTTGAAATTGAGCAATCTTGGGTGCATTAGATTCGTCTTGTTGAGACGCTCGATTCGACTATAAACTTGTCAGATTTGGAAATCGTTTGACCTTTCAAATATGTCCAAAAATCTTTCAAGAATGGTTTAATGACTTAATCTGGGCTTGATTTGACTCGGATTGGAATGACTTTGATACCATTAGGTCCGTCTCATCGAGCCGGTCAGTTTGACTATAAGTTTGCTAAAATTGGAGCTCTGGATGAGTTTTATCAAGGTTTGAACATCACTTACTTAAAATATTATCTCGAGATCTGTGTCATGCTTCGAGATTCGAGTCGAATAATAAGAACTTTTTGGTGGTGTATCAAACGTAATGGTTCAGCATGAGACCAACTTCTAAGACATATCTAATTACATCGGTCGAGCCTTCACCCATTTTCAATGCCAAATTCATATCATACATCCATAGTCAATATCAATCCCATCATAATCTTATTTATGTAGTCTTTTTCTATAAACATGCCCGATGAATATCTAAGTCTCATACAACATGCAAACATACATATATCACAAATCTCTCAACCACTAAGCCACCCAAAGTGGCTTGCATATATCACAGATCAGTTATGTAAAAAATATGTTGATTTTATGTGTATAAAAGGAAAAATATATATATTAGGCACCGATGTCCCTATGTATGGACAACTGTTTGAGATTTGAATACGTTGATGTGCTCGAATTTTAAATGTTATCCGCGCATCCATACCCATTATACAATACATTAATACTCAAATCAAGGAATATTCTAATTTTCTAGAAAATATTAAAAAAAAAAAATCATACCTTGACTGAATAAAATATTGCATCCTTGCACCAATTAGACCTCCATCTTCCCCATATCGTTATCAAACAAACAACATGCATCCAACGGTCAAAATATCAAATCAACACGAGCAACCAAGTTTTCCACAAACCCCCCCATCATTTTCTTTCATATAAATCTTCCCCCTCCCCCAAAATCCAATCCCCAAACTATCTAAATCATCTTCTTCAATCTCCCCTACACACCTACCAATCATGTCCTCCTCCTCCTCCCCTCTCCTCCTCCTCCTCCTCCTCTTCCTCCCCCTCTCCCAATCCACCACCTTCCTCATCTTCAACAATTGCTCCCAAACCACACCCCCGACAGCGGCGGCGGCCTCGAACTCCCCCCTTCCCAAAACTGGACCTTTTCCATCCCCACCACCAACGCCACCTCCGGCACTATCTGGGCTCGCGCCAACTGCACCACCGACTCCTCCGGCAACTTCACCTGTCTCTCCGGCGACTGCTCCGGCGCCCTCAACTGCACCTCTTCCCCCTCCTCTCCCGTCACCATTGTCGAATACTCATTATTCCAATGGGGAAACAATGATTTCTACGACATCTCCCTCAACAACGGATTCAATCTGCAGGTTGAAATCACGCCCACCGGAGCCGGCAACTGTAGCTCGGTGAAGTGTGTGGGGGACGTGGACGGCGAGTGCCCGTCGGAGCTGAGGTCGGCGGGAGGTTGCAAGAGCGCGTGCGATGTGTATAAGACGGATGAGTATTGTTGTAATAAGGTGGGGAGTTGTTCGCCAACCAAGTATTCGAGGTTTTTTAAGAAGCTGTGTCCTAATGCTTATAGCTATTCTATGGATGATCAGACCAGCACATTTACATGCACTTCGGGTGAGGATTATAGGGTGACGTTTTGTCCGTAGGGTGATTTGATCGTATGATATTATGTGTGTTTATGAAGTATGTTACTTTGGATGTATTTAATTTTGATGTATATGGGGTTATATGTGAATTTATGAGAATAAGGAGGATAGGGGGTTGATGATGATGATGATGATGATGATGATGATGATTTTTTTGTTATATATTCAATGTATAATGTGCTTGATAGAGATTTGCATAGAGAAATGGATTATTAATTTACATTTATTTTTTTTTGGGAGGGAGTAGGGGGTATGCATTTTTTGGTCAAACTAAGAACAAATTTGATTGATTCGTTGGGGTTTAAAAATGTATTTTTGGCTTATGATTTTTAAAACCTTAATTTTGATTTTTAATTATTAGTTTGATTTTAATTTTTATTTATTCCAGAAAATTTGAAAAAAATGAAAATTTGAAATTAGGAGGATTCATGGAATTAAATCAATATTATACATGCATGTAGGTTATGCAATTGTTGGTGTTCGTTCATAGCTACAGTGTAGCTAATAACTAAATTTCTTTTTTGTTTGTAATTGATTTGCTTAACCCAAATTAAATTTGGGTGGTCGGTTTAGTTTTATCAAAATTTTGATTGGTTCAATTTTTCATATTTCGGATTTTAGTTGCGATAAAGTTGACCAATTTGAAAATTGATTTTTCCAAATCGACCAAATGCTCACTATTATGAGGGACGAGATATAGGGGGTGCAAAAATTGACCCGACACACTATCTCGACCCAACCCCGACTAAATAAAACTGAGTTCAAGCTTACCTTGATAATTTTTTGGTTGGGTTTGGGTTATGAATCTTAATACATTCAATTATTTTGGTCAATTTCAGTTTAACTCCCTAACTGGCTAAAATTGGCCCACTAACCCAAAATGGAATTTAAATTGACTCGCCAACCTAAAATCTACTAAATTTTGACCCTAATAGATATTATGCAGGTGCTGAACAACTTATACGGGTCATGTTTGTGTTAATGGGTTGATGGCAAGTCAGATTCTGGTGGGAATTTCTAACCCGTTCAATATTCCGGTCGGATTTAGGTCAAGTAGTTTCAGTTCGAATCAATTTCTAATCATACCCAAATCTAACCATCAAACCAGATTTTACACCCTTTTTATGAAATATCATATAGGGGAAATTTGCTACTGACATAGCTTGTGAACTAAGCGAAGCTTGCTAATGGTGTGAAGTTCTAAGTTATTTACTATATGGATTTAGTATGCGTTCACCAATTTGAAGTGATCCTAATGATGTGTCATGTGAGTACATGCACTCAGGAATAAAGACATCACTACTTATATGTCTAAACACACAATTGGTAAATTGATAAGATGATTTTATGCATTAAGTAACATGTACATTTTGTCATCAATACATATCTATGTTGATACAGAGAAATTATAATATTGTGCTTAATAACCAAATTTACGCTATCATTGGGCTTTACATGTCTAGTGTGCATATTGCTCACATATATACACCATTTAGATGTATCATTTTTTGGCTTAGAATTTTTATTTGCATCATTACTCATGTATAAATGATTAAGCTTGTTTGTATTTATTAGAATAAGGATTGTGATACGTGTGAACATGTTACCAGCTCGATGTAATATTATAGGCTTCTGATGTGACATGCTCTATAAATATATTATGACATTTATATTGCACGAGAAGATTATAGTCCTGAGGGATTTGTAGAATGCTTGTATTTTCTTATTATTTATTTTAATATTTTATTTTTATTTCATATAATTTCATGATCGTTGATTTACTATAATGATGACAATTTTCTTACTAATTTTTCCAGCATGTTATAATATGCAATAAATACTAGTCAAATTTTTTGGTTTTTAAAAATAAATGGTTATATCTTATTTACGCCTCAATATGCATGAAGATTAAGTTTTGACTTCCTTTTATAATGTATAGACATGTTGCTCATCAACCAAGGTATAACTAATATATATTATGTTATCATCTTGCAGGTCAGCATACATCTTAGGAATCACCTTAAAGAATAGAATTAAAACAAAATCATTTGACACACATCCCACATTTTTGCATTAGGATGTGTTTGCTTACTTTGCATCATTTTTTTTATTTAATGATTCACTTTTGTAAGTGGGGCCTATATGGTTTAGTGCCAAATTTTACCTAATAGAAAATGTAAGCTCAATCTTCAAATTGATTGTTCTTATATAATTTAAAATTAAATCTCATTCCTAGTATCTTTCATATATCATGTAAAAAATAATTCTTTATGTTTCCCTCTATCTTAGAGAGCATGACCATATATAATTCAATGGATGTAATATTTAGGTGGTACTAAAAGCCAAGTTTAGCCTAATATCTCCTATGATTGTCTTGTTTATATCTAATATTTTAATCTTTCTTAGATTCTAAAATTTTTCTACCCCTAAATTTATGAGAATCTCTTAAATGACACAAAGTCATGGTTATTGAAAATAATCCTCAAATACATGATCACATGGCAATTGCACCAATGAAACAACAAATGTATGCTAGAATAGAAAAATCAATGGGACTTAATAGATGCCATCCTCATAAACCGTAATACATCTTCTATTTCTTTTACAAACCTATGTGCTGTAATATTCTATCCCTTGAGCTTCCAATAACTATAATTCTAAGCTATGTTAATGATATAGATTTATTGGATATTTAAGAATAAAAGTTCCTCGTAATCCATAAAAGCTTCGAATAGCTATATCACTAAGTTATTTTATGATTGAGAATTTTTTACGTATCAAAATTTAAGTCACACAACACTTGATGCATTTCATTATTAAGTTATATTCATTTAGTGTCTTTATGGCAGACAAGAATAGTGCATTTTTATACTCAAATTTATGATTTCCTTATCACAACTTTGTGATTATATGACATTTGTTCTAAGAATTTTTTTACACATTTAATATTTTTTATTATATCTTCAAATAATACTCGAACAACCTTAAAAATAACTATATTGGCCAATATATAACTTAACCTAAACTTATGTAATCTGACCTGAAATTGAATCGACTGGAAACTGCTTGACTTCAACATGACTCAAATATTAGACGTGTCAGTAAATCCAACTCAAATCCTATCAGCCTTCAACCCGCTAATCCGAACACAACACATGTAACCTATTTAACATAAGACATAACAACTGTTCAGGTCAAATTAGAGTCGATTTAGATTTAATCTCATGTCAATTGTGGATTGACGGGTCAATTTACAGTTAATTTTAATTAACTAGTTAGTTTCATGTCAAATTCAGGTTGGTGGGTCGACCCGAAAACTGAGCCGAAAAATTAAGTGAATTAGAATTCCTAACCCGAACCCTACCCAAATATTATTGGGTCAATCCAAAGTCAGATTTTTCGAACCGGGTTTAGGTCAAGTTAGCGTGTCAGGTTAATTTTTGACTGACACCCCTTAATGTATAGAACCAAGTGAACGAAATCAAGCTATGTATGGAGAGATATAGTAAAATAAAAAATTGAGAACAAATATTTAAATATCAAGTTTCACACTTCTTAAGATTTTAAAAACTAATAAAAAATGATTATTAGATTTAAAAATAATTAATATTAAATTACTGGGATTCTTACATATCTCACTCTTCAAACTTGTGGATAATGTCGCCAACAAATGTGGTATGGATGTGGGAAAAGTTGTTTATGATTCTACCATCAATCCATGTAATATAAAACTACCTACGTCATTTTGTCGACCAGATAATATGAAACTATCTATGTCAGTTTGTCGACCAGATGCTTCATCAACATGAAGTGGCTTAATCGAAGGATCATTAATACAATCACTTAGATAATTTTATGTCTATTTGTGAAGAAAAATTATTACATGGCTCAAAATTTGTAACTGGAGTTTAGTAAGGGTGTGTCATGTGGTAAGTGTGTCTCACCCTTAAAAAAAAACTAGTATATTACAGTGGGTCTCGCATACCATGTGTCAAATGTCCACTAAACTCCGGATACAAATTTGCATCAGGTGTCCTGATGGGGGTGTAAAGAGAAATGGGGTATTGTTTTTGAAAAATTTTTAGGTTTTCAGTGCTTTTATGTGTAAATTGAATGTTCGGAGTGTTAGATCTATAAATAGAAATATTTGGAGTGTTATGCATGTAAAAACAACTAAAAAAATACTGTAAAAACAATCAATTAACGTAGATTATTCTATAAATTGAACTGCGGGGTCAGAATACAAAAATCGAAGCGGCACGCATTCACAAAAAGTCTATGGGAAAAGAAAAGAGCGGACGGAAGGCTTTTCCTGTTAGCAGTTGAAAATTATGCTGCGTTTATTAGAATAAAGGTAAATTTACATAAATACCACACAAATCTTATGTATTTAAACCTGTAAATAGTGTAAATTTATTTGTGAGGCTGCCGTCTTAATAACTAATTCAACATCTTTAGACTTTTCTCCTGCGAGCGTACTCATCTTAAACTTGATAAGTTATATTTGACGTGTAAAAATCGAACGACAAATCCAGTTAGAGATTATGATTTCGACAAAGAAGTCATTATAAAGTTATATTTGAACCTCTTTTTACATGAAATTGTTTATTAATAGTAATTGATGTGAGTAATCGTCTTAGCATAATATGAAAGTCCAAAATATACTCGAATGAAAAAAAAAATTATTATCAAGAACACCAAAAGTTTTTATGCGAAAAATCTCGAAGGAAAAAAAAATCACCGAGTCTTGCCAAGTTGAAATATTTTATTATTTGTTGGTGATTACAGGAACAACTCCTTGACTTGTAGGCTGAAAAAATGTTACAAAGTTTCTTGGATTACAACTTTCATGCTTAGAAGAACTTTTTGCCTCGTGGTGTGAATGAATGATTGTCGATGGTGGTCGAAGGTGGCTTGCGGGTGATAGGCTAAGTTGGCTTAAAATGGCTAAGGCTGGAGGTCGCTGCAGTCAGAGTTGATTGGAGGTAGCGACGACCGGATTTGCCTAAAAGCAGCCCGAGGCAATGATGATTGGATTTGGGCGAAAGCAACTGGAAGCGACAACAGCCAGAAGTTGTGACCGTGGTCGGAGGCGACAGCGGCTGGAATT